ACAATATTCGCCATTTTGGCTTCTGCACGTGCTTCAACAATGTTTCTTTGTTATCATTTTCACTGTGATGTATTCATCTGAAGAATTAAAAATATATAATTATTGTAGCAGATTTTCACTTGAATGATCGTGGGCGATGATTGATTTCAATGGTATACTATACGCTGAACTAATCGTACTCTTTAAGCGGAACCTGACGTATTGTATATTGTAAATGCAACAATAAGAATCACTTCCTATTCTATTTTAAACCGACCGACTGGTTGTGGCCGGAACAATAGCATTGCATGACAACAGTTAGAAAGAAAGTACGTGACGAACAAAGCGTCATTCTAGAATTTGCGTTTAATTTTCTGTAACTTTATATGTCACTTCCTTTTGTAGATCTCTTTCATTTTTTAAATTGTTGCATCGCAACAAGTGTGCTTTTACATCATTTTTTTATCTTCGTAGAAAATTATTAAATTTTAAGAGAATTTTTGTCGAGTCTAATTTTCGAGATTATTTGCCTGTTTCCTTCTTCAAACTTAGATTTTATTAGAATTAGTGAAAAATGTAATAATTAAAAAAGATAATTTTTTTTTATCGCAGTTACTTGTACGCACGTACGTAGGTATATGGATTATTTTAAAACAATTTATATTAATTATTGATAAATGATTAATATTTGATTGATTGTTTGAGCAATTGACAGATACACAAGAGAATGGCATACTTCTTAAATGAATTACTTTATTGTCAGTTGGACATCCGATAAATTGATTCTGACATGCCACTTTTGCTTATCAATAAAGTGTTACTTTCACTATAACAACAGCTCTCTGAAGAAGTCGCGAGCTACTCTACTTTCAACTGGTACACGTACTTTATATCGTGTACATGCAAAAAGTACTTCACTTTCACCCACGCGCATTGTCATTTTATGTCTGGCTGGTTACTACTAGTTAGAGGAAACATCGCCAACAAAGTCGAATGTAAACCGCATTAATATTGTTTACACGTATACTCAATGTGAACTCTTTATTCTCTTGTACGAGTTTATTCCGCGCTGAATCGTCGGATTAAGTTAGGCGTAAGCACGAACAAGGAAGTAGGCTACGAGACCTGCTCGCGAAATCCTGTTTCAGAGCAACGATCAGAGCGGAGGAAATAATGCATGGCGATTACTTCAGTAGTTGAAGGAGAACTTTGATTATGCGTGAAAATTGATTTCATTAAAATTAGTAATTCACAGGATAAATTGTATTAACTGTTAAAAATCAATTTATTAATCAGGATATTGAAAAAATTCTTAATAATAGTTTAATGATAACGAAAAAATGAGTAATTTTTTTATATAGAGTTTTTTAAAAAATATATATTTTTTTAAATCTCGACATTTAAAAGTTTTTATTAAATAAATCTATTCAATAATGTATTTAAAGACTGCAAACTTATAAGAAAATATGTAAGAAGAGAAACAAGCCACACATACGTATAAAAATTATTCTTGTTACTTGAATTTTTACTGAATCATGCGATTGTTTCCGCGAATGACGGCACTCCATAGATCATCCTCGATCGAGGCTCGATCTCGATCTCGCGCGCGAAGGGGCCGGACATTGCACATTCTTCGCGGACGTATTACGAGCTGTTGCGAACCGCGATAACATCGAGCCTATAGGTGCACCACGAAGGTGCGAACGCATCCTTGCGAAGAAGTGGAAGGTACCTCGTTAATCCATTTCATTCTCGTGAATGGTAACGAATCTTTATTTCTTCCTTTTATCACATCAGGGTACTATCGGCCTACCGCTTGTCACTAGCGTCGAGATTCTACAATCTAAGGTCCTTTCGTTCAATCACATTCTGTATGTTTTTATTGACTGGAATAAGAAAATTTCTTATTACAATAGTTGTCGTTATTAGCAAAAAGTACCATTTCTCTTGGATGGAACGCGTTTCACTGAATAACTTTTTTCAAAACATAGGTAACTGCTTTTCGTGCACGAGCAATCACTTTATTTTATGTTTTTATCGTAGCATCGTCTTTCACCCTTTCCATCTTCATTGCGAGTCGAGCGTATTTCTCCCGATTTGAGCTTCTCGTGGTCTAGTATATATATGTATATATATAAGCGATTGAACTTTCATTTTCATTCACATTGCCATTTACATCGCCGCGAGCGATTAATCCATTTCTCCTTTTAACGTGCGCGAACGTTTGATTTATTTTCGCTCATGTTCGCCGGTGTTTTTCCTTTCACCTCCCTTTGACGTGGCCACTCTCGACTGCTTGGTCAATTCCGCCTCCGGGGAGCATCCTTTATCTTTCACGTGCACACGGTTACCTCTTCCTCCGACTGGTGAATGGCTTTTAAGAGTATCGCACGGATTTCACGCGCTTCGCGCTGCCCGGAGATTAGTGTCGACTTACGATGATCATAATTAACTTAATTGAGTTTTTTTAGAGCAAAATGATTTCATGTTTTCTGTATATTGGTTTAAAGAAAGCGCCGTTTAAGATCTTATTTGTCAAATACTTTATTGAAGATTACATAACAGGTAGATTTATATGCAGCCATTTATGAAAATTTTAGGCAAAGATCAAAGATCACGAGATTATAGAAAACAATTTTTACTTTAATATACAAATATACATGTAATATGTATATGTCGGCTTTGGCCATTTATTTCGCGGAGATTTTAGATTATATAGACATGGTTCTTGGATATGATTATTTATGTTGGATTTCTCATCGCTTCTTGCGTACGAATGGTCTCTTTATCCAAGTCTCTCACGGAAATAAAATATTGCTCTTTTCGATCGCAATACAAATGCGTATATGGTTCGTTCGAACACTCTGACTTTCGCTTAACAAAAACGAGTGATATTTACTCTTTCAATTGTGAAATTTCTAGTAGAAAGTAATGCGACTACTTATTATAATAATTGTGAGCTGTGTTCATAATACATTGTTAATCATTGTGTTCTGAAGAGAGATGAATTTCTGTGAAGATTGCCATGTAGACCACGAATAATATTTTTAACTCGCGTGCAGGATCGCCATTGTATGTAAAGGCCGTTTCACACGGCTTTATGTACAAGAGTATTCACAAGCATTCTGTTGATTTTATGCGATAACCAAAAACTATTTTTCATAAGCATAAAACTTTTGTTGGTAAAATTGAAAGGAGTGTTCTCTCTCTTTCTCTTTTTCTCTCTTTCTCTCTAGAAAATGTTTCCAGATCTCGGGAATTTTTTCAACGCGTTGTTTCTTTAAATCAAAATTAAAAATATAAATCGGACATAAATAAAAAATTACTGATAATTATAAGTACGACAAAAGTACTCTGTGACGAATAAGGTAAGAAAGTGAACAGAGTCGTGCAACTTCTTTTGTATATATGTAGTGATACTGATGTACAGTAATCGTATCATATAAGTAATCGTCGAATTTGTAAGAAGTCGAGTACTTACCGGGAATAATCCGCCGGTGTTTTGCACTCTCGATCTCTCGTGAACGAGCACGATTCACGTTTGCTTCGAGACAGCGTGCTTGCACCGTTTTAAATAATAAAGCGGCGCCGGACGTAATTGCAAGCCGTAACGTAATAAGTAATACGGCGCGTCTAAGACGCGGATTACCACGTGTAAAGCGAGCGATAGAAGGTGCACGAATAATTGCTCTACGATTGCGAGCGAACGTAGTTCCTTGCTACCGTTACGAATCCCGCGAAATGGATGTAGTAATGGTATCGAAGCAATAGAGATCTCGCTCTCTTAACGTCCATATGCACCGCATGCACGCATATGTGTGCGCATTTGAAAGGATACAGATCACAACAAAAACAGTTTCTTTGACGAATTTGTCGTTTAATTTTTATAAAATAAAATTTTAAATATAAAATAAAAATAATATTCAAATGGCCCCGCGGATTAAAATTTAGTATGAAGAATAGGGCAAGGAAACCCGTAACAGGATGTTCGTGTTTTATTATTTTTAATAACAAATAGACAAATATTATTCCAACCACAGTAAACTGCGCGCCGACAAATCGTCAGACTTGAAACACGATTCTGGTTGAAGTAGTAGAATCCCCTCACACGCTACCCAAATAAAATAAAATAAAATAAAAATATTTCTTTATTATTTAAATTTCCTCGTCCAAATGTTAACAAAAGAAATATTTTTGTTTAGAAAAATATAATGATACACACACGTTTAGTGAAATAATCGAAATTAAAAAGTTAAAAAGAATTTTTAGCCAACATATAATACTTTTTTTATTTAGCTTATATACTATTTTAGAATTCGAATTAAAAAATGTAAAACTAGGGAAGGTGTGTTCAGGTACTAATGAGTCTAATGATGAACAGATGTACGTGCGTCCTGTGAGTGAGATGCACGAGCATCTTTAACTCTCGTTGAATATGCGCGTTCACTCTCTCACACCTTGACCTTCCTCAACCGGGAAGTCAACAGCACCCTCAGGGAGTATGTACGAGCACGTAAAAGCGCATGTATAAATGTATCTATTATAGCGCGCGGCCGACACGAGTATAATTCTAATGTAGTTCATTTTCAGACGACGAGAAACTCGCGTTTATTATCGCACGTTTGTGTAATGAAATAGATAATTAGCTCCTTCCAATTAACATTTCTAACGGTCTCGAATCTTGTCACGTTAAAAAAAGGATGAAATAAACTTTTTGCGATGTCACTTTTTATAATTATTTTTTCATTTACGTGTAATTTATTTATTATTTATCGTTTAAGTGGGATAATTAATTATAGTATTTTTTTGAAACGTACACTGGGGCATGCTCTGCATAATTTAATTTTTATTTTTTTAATATGTTGTATCTTTTTACCTGTTTATATTTATTTTATCTTTAGTTTTCGCAAGTATATCATTCTATTTTTTATTTCTATGTACAAAGAGATAAAGAGAGAGGTTTTTTGTATCCGACATCGCGCGTTTGTTTCAATTTCATTAGACATTACAACAGTCGTTACCTGATGAGAGTTGATTCGCCGAGAGCACATCATCTTCCCCCGGTTGAAGACGTACTTCCATTTTTTTCAGACGCGAATGTAGATCTCTCGTGTGTAGAAAGAGAAAAAGTGTACTGGATATCGCTACTAAAGCGATCAGCTCGATTGTCCTGTAAGCAAAAAATTATGAGTTAATTAGCATTATATTATAATTATTCAATTACATTATATTAGTTATGTTAATAGTATTCGTTTGCTCAGGATTATTCATAATTTTTCTCAGCTTGCGGAATGCTGTTCTTATTATTTATGCGACAAATATTTGCTCGATTCGTAAACAATATGGAGAGTTTAATTTGCGACTGTCGTGGTGGACTGTGGAGCGAAATTGCGACGTCGAGAAGCCCTTTCGCAAGTCAAATATTACGAGCTGATCGTCATCTAGGTTGGCAGTGAGGGAATCAGGGCACGGCGAAGCCATCTATCTCGTAATTGGTCGTCCCGTCTGGGAGATGATGTTTCTCCGTATGACCTGGTTCTTGGAGAATACTCATCGACCGTGAAGCTTGACGGTCGCTTCAATTTCGCGGGGGTCGGCGCAACAGGTGCATCGTTCACGCATACCTCGCATATTCGCATATTAAATACGATTAAATTGAAAAGCTCGAAACGATGATACGCTAACGGCTAAACTGTGTGAGAAAAAGTTCTAGAGAATTCTTACTTTTCGCAGACCTGACAATCATCCGTCGAAAAGAGAAGAACTATCTTTAAAAATCTTATAATCTTGAAGAAATAGGGAGGGGATTTTTTATGAGATCTTTTGGATCTTATCTTATAAAAATGTTACTAATTAATTGAAAAACGTAAAAGACTGTGTAAAGACGGAAAGTACTGCAACACGTTATTAGCTTACGGCTTTTCTTAGTGCATTATTGCCCTCGAGCCCTTCCATTTAACGAGCTGTGTAATACACGCGGGCAATAGCAACGGCATCGCGAATCGCCCTGTGATAGCAGTCGTTATTCGTACGGTATATCATAAATAATGCAATAAACGTTGCATTAAACGCGATACGGGCGGCGCACGCGAGACCATTGTAATCGATTCCTTCCACGATTACGAGTTCCAAGATTGCGCGATGCAATGCATAGTAAATCGCGAGGCGCCTTTATTATCGAGCTCACCGGTAATCCTCGATCCGGCAAAGGAGGCACGAGCGCGAGCGGTAAGAAATAATTGATTTTCCTCGCGTCGTTCACCAGCGATTAACCTGGTAAAAGTGGAAGAATCATATCGCGCGGAAACCACAATTAAACATACATACCGAAATGAAATTCGTGCTAATTGTCTCGGCATTTCTTTCCATTATAATCCGTGAACGTGTCGCTATGTAATCTCTGATTCGAGTGTGGTACTTTGCCCGATCTCACGCGACCGCGTTAAGAGAACTCCAGGCAATTGTCCTACATACAACTTTGGTTTCGAATGCACGTTGCAAATTCTGCAATTTGATACAGATGCGCGCGCTGCAACTATCTACATAGCGGCCGTAGCTGCATATACGATTTAATTCTCATTTCGGATACATTCGTTCTTTGTGTGAAATAATTACGCAGAATTGTATGTGGATTCTTTTAAGATTGCATTTAAGATTGCACTTTTAGTGTTAACGTTTTATTCTCATATTTCTCATTGTGATTTAATTCCGCTAATAATCGCAGCTTGAAAGGTGATTGCACTGTCATTGAACGGTTGCTTAGTTTTGTCATTAGCGCGTAGAAATCGAATAATTATCTGGAAAATACAAATATTTGTAATTTCTGGCTAAAAAAGGATGACACTAGGATGATTAAATCCTAGTTTCTAGAGGAAAATTATTATCGTGTATATATATAGAAATCTTTTCTGAGACAAGAAATAAATTACGTAATTTATATTTAATTATATAATTATGCATCTTGACGATTTTGTATTGTTCACGCTACATTCGTACTTCAACTTCTTAGGTAGAAATTTTATGCGTGATTTAACCATGCTATTATTATGTCTACTTTGCTTCTGTCCTTGCGCGATTCTTTCATATTCTGCAAGTACTCCATTAAAATTAATAAACGATTTGCAAATGCTAGAAAAGGTTGCCGACCTCTTATTTAATGCTTAACGGAAATCTAGTATCCTTTGAATAATAGATGAGTGTGGTTTCTTTCAAGTGATATATACACAATACATGTCAGCCATATATTTGCGGTTAAGTCATGTTTATAAATTGCAAATTTGCAAAATTTGGTTCTTCTGTGCATATATGCGGTATTTGGATATCAAGTTTTCGAGTTTCAAACGACATTTAATTAAGCACAAGAAGAATTTATGGCTTTACGAGCTACTAATGTCTCATTAGTACCAGACACTGTGCAAGATGTCAAGTACTTCGTGGGAAATGTCCCGAAATTCTTCTGAAACAAATGTAACGCGGAGATTTTCATCGGCTGCATTAAAATACAATGGCAATCAGTGTTCTCGCGGTCTGATAAGGTCGTAATTTGGAAAACGAGATATTTTTACGGAAGGAAGACGGAAAGAAATTAAAATATAGGTTTTTATCAATTTTATAAAAAAAAACTAAACATTATATACATACAGTAGAATCGTTATTCTTCTGTTTAATAGAATATTTGTATTAAATATGCAACATTTTTTAAGTGTTATAAAATTAAACAAAAAACAAGCAATACTGTACATTTCTTATTATTCGTATTTTTAACTATCGTGCATATAAAATTCTAATTCAAAACATTAATTACAGAAGTATTAATTTCCTGTAGCGCTTTATGAAATTCTTCTCTTGAAAAAATGAAATGAGAAATTATTCATAAATAAGTATTAGATTTTTTCACCTGAGTTACGAGAATGTCTATAATTTCTCAAATTATCTATAATTTGATCCCAGCCATTTGTATGTATGCGCAAATCACTATCCTTCGGCGTAATTCGTCGCGCCGATGCCGCTAGTTTCCTCGAGGATATACAAGGACGTTCTCCGGTATTCTATCGCGGCTCTTCCGGGCTTATCGGCAAAACGTAAGCAGATCTACTCGAGGGAAAAGCGAGAAACGAACGGTATCGTTCTGGCGGACGCAGTGTCAACGACACACGGAGAGAAGGGAACCGTAAGCTCTTAGGAACGCGTTTTATATATACCGTAACGGGGTACATACAGGGGCACCGTGTATGTACATACGCCTCGTGTACATAATGGCGAACGCGTATCTGGAAATCCGATTGTCTCGCGCGGTGAGAACGTCGCGTGTAGGTATTCGATTCGCGAAATGTGCCATCGAGAACCGATGGCAGGAATGCGCCGCGCATTAGGCATTTCTATTTCAATGCGCGAGTACGTGCCGTTGGTTAAAGAGGTCTACGGGTCAGATCGTCTGATACTATTGTAGCCTAATTTAGAAAATCCCAGATCACAAGGTGATAAACGAGCTGATAAGCGGGTGATAAACTGCTACGATATTCTTCTAATTTTCTCAAGGAAATGTGCTTTAGTAATAAAACAAGGAAAAAATAATTTTTTCTTAATAGATATACTACATGTTTATATTCGGAATTTTATTATACTAGCTGTATATGTGCATATATCGTATTGCATTAGATTATTATAAATATAATTGCGGGAAACAATTGTTACTATTTAAAATCATCATTCTATTCTATTCATGAGAAACAGGAAAGAGGAAATAAAACGCGTTTGGAGCACTCGACGCATTCAGACGCGTGCAAATTGTAAATTTTATTAAATTTCTCAAATACGTGTTTTTCTCAGGCTTGATCTTACGTTCCGATACGTCATAGAAAATGTTTACGATTAGATATGGGAGAGGGATGATTCTGCGTTTTGTTTTAATCTTTCGTAATGGATCGTGGTAACATTGGACGCAACAAAGCCGCGAGGCAACGCGGAGATTCGTGTTGAAATTGCAATGCAACTTTTGATCGCGGTCGATGCACCGCCGTACAATGCTGCTCGTTGCAATACAACGACCACAATTGACTTTAACGAGCGCGCGTATATGATAAATTATTGCAGCCGCTACGGCCGAAGCCGTATTCCAATAAAGCTCCGCGAAATGTACTTGACAGGTTCTCGGGACATTTATTCAATCTGTAACAGATTATTTTATACATTTAGAAAAGTCTGTCATTAATCGTTTCTTTTTTCTTTATTATACTTAATGGCATAGAAACAGTTAAACATACGCGCGCGGAGTGGACGTCGTTCCATTTACGTCTGCGTTTTCAATTACATTTTTAATTTACGGAGCACGTTATCTCAATCTAGTTGGACGAGTTCTCCGCTGCTTTTGTTGGTAAATATGTACCGGATGTCCCGATCAACTGTGATATCTTTCAAACACAGATTCTCCTCTCTGGTGCGCGGCGGTGAAAAACACATCTGTACATATATTCAAAGGTAACAGGTAAGAAATTATACGCGTACGCACGTCCGACCCATGTTAATTCGCGGTTTTTTATACACTTAAGCAGACATGCCCTCTGACATTATGCATACTTTATTAAATCAGAATTTACGCTTGACATACAGCTGGCTATCTATCTGTTGATATGAGAGAAGTTGTTTCTCCATAATGGAAATACTCTCGAATGGTGGGCAATTTTCTATACGGCCACTTAATGTGCATTATCGTAGTCACTCTTAATTGCCCGCTGTACCCGTTGTACTCGTTGTACCCGCTCAAGTGCGTTCGCGGCGAACGCTTGATATCGTCGTGAAGAAGTCGGAAGTGCGAGCGGACGGGATTCCGTGTGGCGAGAGAAGTGGCCGCGATAATGATAGTTCTGATACGCGTGGCCATCCAGGAATCCTTACTCCATTTTATGGCAGTGACACCTCCCCGCAATCTCGTCCTTCGACGATGCCTCATTTACGCAATGGGCCTCATAACTTTTATTTATAGATAGTGAAGATTCATTATCGCGAATGCGCGCAGTTTTCTCGCTCGGGCAGCAAAATTCATCACGCGGGACTCGAGCCGCAGAAACGAGACAAATGGACCTGCATTCTTGCAAACGTCACGATAGTTCATCACTCACGTAGTATAGAATTCGTAATTATCAACTGTATTAACATGAGATAAATGAGGGATGTGAAACGACGGTGTGTTTATCCCATATGTATGATCATTCCTAGTGTAGATTGCAAAATTTACAATTTATAGCACAATTTATCGACAACTTTTTTAATTATTTGAAAAAGATCATGTCTTATCAATTGCTTTAAACAAAAATTTAAAATAAGTTAGAAGGTAAGAGATTCTCTAACATTTATTAGAAAGTTGAGTATATTTCTTTGATGAATTTCGTTAAAAATGATATGTTGTAATACAGATGTAAAAAATCAACAAATCAATAGTAATGCATTCTTCGATAAAAAGCTTAGTTATGTAACTCTGAATAATATTATAAATTATCTATAGTTTTCTGTAAATATATAATGAGATAAATCCTGACAGACATTTAATTTAACTCTTAATTATGAAGTCACTTGATATAACATTGAAACGTGGAAGGTACAAAAGTGTTGCTTCTAGATCCATCGAAGGAGTCCTATTTACCGCATTCTACACTGTACACGTTCCACAATGTAGACCACCAACTTCGTTTGTGACTTATGACTTTACGCGCGCTTGGGGGGAGGGGGGTCAATCGTAGGAAGAAATCGCAGGCCGACAAACCACGCATTTGCATGGGACATGGAGCACCCGGGAATCGACCACTCACGATTTTCTCGCGCGGTTCGCATTATTCTGCCGTGATGAATCGATTTGTCACATACCTAGCTCATCGCGAAAGTCTCCCTGGTCACGAGACCTTTAACTCGTTACCGCGACCCTGATCCCGGTGACGCAATGTCTGAACGCGATGTTCGGCACTATTTTTTTTTGGCCGTTAATTTTATACCTATTCGAAAAGTAATGACATATTCATGAGGCAAAACAGGAAACCTTACGTAAAGTCACTTGCATCGCGACCGTCCATGTCCATCGTGTCGCGAACGCGCGTTCACAATTTACATGTGACTGCTAAAAGAACATTTGAATACTGGAATAAAGTATTTCTTGCTTCACCAACTTTCTTTCGCATTTTATATGACATGTAGTGTGAATTATCTGGGATAATCTGTTATTGATAATATAGCCGGACGGTTACCGATTCTTTTCGATCCGAGGTAAATTTTTTTTAAATTATATTTTTTGATATTTTTCTAAGAGAAACGCAAGTGAAATTATTTTATATAAGCTTTATATTCTAAGAAAATGTCTGCAAATTTATACCTCGTATAATACTTAAGGACAATAGCATTAATTAAAAGCTTATGCTAAAATTATATTGCGGTAGTGGAATACTATGCGTTGCACTACATATAATTAAAGCTAACGTACCTAAATTAGGTGAACAACTAGTAACAATGATGTAATTACATTTTCATATTACATAGAGAAGAAAATAGAAATGTGAAATATTCATTATAAATGCGCTTCTCGTAAAATTAGTCACTTGCTTTTTAGCTGCGTTTATTATGCTTATATCTTTTAATATTTATATGCATTATTTTCAGCGATACGCACATAAATTACATGATTATCGCATATTTGGAATTGTGACGTGTTTTTTTTTTAAAAGAAATCAAAATTACATAATTTGCTATCTGATATTTAGGTCCCATTTTATAATCCTACTTTCTTTTCTATTTTATTCGTTAACGGAGCCAATGTCCCATCTTTCGAATGAAAAATTATGTAGAATGATTTAAAAATAAGCATTATTTTCTTGAATTGTCAAATGTGTAATGTTGAAATATGTTATAATTACAAAAGTAATTATATATGATTAAAAAGTTGTTTTTTTTTTTTTTTTTAATAAATTAGAAAACAGAGACAGAGATAATAATCTTTACTTTTCTTATCCATCTTGAGTATTTTTCCATATATACAATTTTAAAAAATTGAGTTTTATGAAAACAAGATCGAAATCATGAAAAAGCTTCAGCTGGCGTGAAGGTGGATGATCGTTGGCTAAGATTGAGTCACCAGCGTGCTTAACGGTTAAATACCTCGGCTCGTTATACAGAGGATACACCGGCAAGATACGGTATCCCTTCGTGCACTCTCATGCTCTACGCGCAGATAAATATTGATGACATCGTAGAAGATGTTAATCGTACGCGCGTAATTAGGCGCCTTTAACGCCGCGGTTAATCGCGTCCCGAGATAGCCTCCTTACCTCTTGGGAACGGGCACTCTCCTCTGCCGCCACATGTTCTCCTTCGGCATCCTGTCGCTCCTTTCGAAATCTGGTCTCTTCCTCACGGGATCCTCTTCTTGCGGTGGCGATCGGACGATATCCCACGAGCTTGCGGTGGTCACGTGCGTTCCATTGGAGGACAATCTATCGTCACCGGGCACTCGTGTCCGGCGGATGCTGCCGAGGTTCGGCAACGGTCACTCATAAAGTCCATTCACTGAATCACTGCTGAATGACGACGACAACGATGACCGAAAAAATATTAATCGAGCGAACGTTAAACGTTCGCCGACAGCTGCAAACGTCAGCCGTTAGATTTCCGCGAGCGAACGATTTTCCCGTCGATCAACATCCGCTACCAGGTCAACATCCTCGATCGGCTCGCCGATCGGTCTTCTTCAGCAATTGTACGCGCGCCTCCCGCAAGTTGAGGCGACTTTACGACATCGTGACCGATGCAATTTCGTTGGAATCGACGGCGGCGCCGGGTCGGAAGTTCATACGGGTTCCGGGTGTCGAAACGCGCGTGCGGCGACCGTCTCCGCGGATCTTTTCAGTCATCGGTCCTCGCGGCAAACGTGACTCGCCGCGCTCGTGAGAAGATACGCAGAGGGCCTGGGAGGCATCCGCTCTCTCGGTCGATCTGCACCGACCTGTCCGCTGGTCGACACGCGACTGCCGCTTTTCTTCGCCGTTTCGGTGCCTCGATAGTCTCGGGTACCTCGTGGACGTGAAACACGGAGGCGACACGCGATACGCTCTATTCCGCGTCCGCGCTCCGTTACTCGGTGGCACGTAATGCCGCGATTCTACTCCACATTCGCCGTGCCATCCCACCGGGCCCCCCCTGTTCCGGGGCCACTTCCACTGCGCGTCAGGCGCACGGTGAAGGGAAGAGACGTTCGTTTTCGGGATGAAATTAAGGTGACCGGACTTTTAACCCTGATTCGCGTGCAGGTGTTCTCTTTTCGAGACGCGAGCACATAACGTTATATCAAGCGCTCGCTTTACATAACAGTGCTCTATGCATATGTAAATATAAGTATTTTTGCACAAAAGACCGTATAAGATATGATAAAGATAAGAAGTTATTCTAGAAAACAATTTAAACAAGTTTAAATTTTAAATTAAAACGAACTCTTTTGAAACGAAACAACGCGTACTTTTTGCTGCTACTTTCTTTGTGTCGTTTCGCTATTATTTTAAATAAACTTGCACTTTGTAAAAAAATCTTAACAAATTATTTTGCAAAGTTTCTCTCAACTATACATAATAGATCTTTTAGATTTATGTATCTAAATTTGCGCGAATGGAACAATTCAATGGACAAATTAAAATTGTCTAAAAATAAATGTAAATTTTTTTTAGAAAAAGACTAGGTTACACATTTCTGCACAGTCAATAATTGTAATAAAATGCAGCGAAGATAAGAGTTTTAATCTAAATTTTAAGTAGAGTGCAATAAACTCATTGAAATTAACTATTGCCTGGATTAATCTTATTAATCTTTAACTACTTGCGTGAGATATTTTAAACCACAAGAAGTGTTCTAACTAATAATAATTATTGAACATTTTTCTTTCGCGTAGAAATTTATTAATAACATTAACTACTAACAGCTAACGTTTATTAACTACGTGCCTCGTACGAAGACACAACGTAATGCAGGAATAATTTTAAGGTAATGACATTCCAAAGCGGAAGAAATTTAAGTGCAGTGGCGCAGATTTCCAGATGGTCGCGGTCAAATTTATCATAACAGTTTTAAACGAGTCAATAAAATGAGTTTCCTATCGGTATACATATATTACGCGCATTAGCTACATTTAATAAGACACGCGCTCTTCCGAGCGATGATTTAGTGTTCGCTGCCGCATTTATTAGCCATCGGATAGAAATTCTCATGAAAGTAACACAGACCGCGTTGCATTCTATTAAAGCCAATAATTCAATGATCGAGGACCTCATAAGATGCTAATATATACATTGAATCGCGCTGATTATCGATTAGTAAATAAATCTAAAAGAGAGAAAGAGAAGGATAAAAATTCGTTTATAAAAATTATAAACAAATAAAATAAATTGAAATTATCGTCAAATTATTTGATAGCATGACATATATTTCCTTACAGCTAATAGTCTCTAAAATTTGTGTCAACGGTAATTAATTTTTATTTTTAAATAAAAGACCTGACTATTTCAACGTTTAATCATGAATTTAATTTTGTAGAAAAAAAAGGACAAATATACAAGTTATTTAACTTAAAGAAAGGAATACTGCTTATTTTTTCTTGGGCAAAAAAGTTTATGATAATTTGTCGACATTATAAGCAAATATTAATTTTTTTACACAACCTTGTTTAAAAATTAGTAAAGACAGAAACAATATTTAGCATCTTATTTCCATTTTAAATATATATATAAAAAAAAAAACAAATTAATTAGTTATATTTTTTCGACGAAGAAAATTTTTATAAAAGATCCCTGAAATCAATTTTAGCAATGGAAACATAAAAGTTTACGTCTAAAACATAAAAAAAATCAAAATGCTATCTCATACTTTATATGCTTGATATCTTTGAGCCCCTCCTTTATTTCCCGTTTTCATTTATGTGACAATGGCAGGAAGAGAGTTAGAATACTTAGAAACTGCATAGAATTTCGTATTCGAGTGATTAGCATGGCCGCATCAATATCGAATGAGATTGCATCAAAGAAATCTTCGAGACAATGGCACTCTGTTCCTTTACATCGCCGCGTACCTAAGCAACAATGCAAGGCCGGCATTCGCATGTATGATATTATTACTTCGGTTCAATTGTACGTCGTTGCGTACAATTCAATTAGGTATTATGACTCGGCGCCTCATGCATAATTATTTGACCGATAATTGTTTGCCAGGAAATGTTGTATGCAACCTTACAGTTTTCAGATTTTGAGATAAAGAATTGCGAAAAAGAAGATTAACTTCTCACATCTTTGTATGTGTTTGATTCATTGTATTTTTCAAATTTTGAGTTTCTTTTTATTTGTGGAGATTTTACTATTTTCCGAATGAAAATTGTATTCCGCAACGTACCGTGTGATGCATATGCTGTTGCAAAATTATTACGGGAACAAACAAACGGGAACAACTTCGTCATCTAAAAATGTCATTTATTATAATATAAATCTGAGAAAATTTGTGCTACGAACTTAATGATTATGCCCTGGAATCTACGTATCCTGTCACAGCACAACCGAGATTAAGGCTACTAATTATTTGACACAATTATAACGGAATAATTATTAACCCGAGCTGGAAAGAATTCTTCCTACCCTCTTAATCTACCATATCATCCATTATTTCGTTAATATTAATAGAGAAAATTGTCGGGAATCTTTATACATTTTACTTAATTTATTCAGCTCGAAGCGAGATTTAACATAAATTTACATGTAGTTAATTAGTACCTGGCAATTTGAGCGAGGATACGCTGACACCTTTAAGTTTCGTGATCCGTGGCATATTAATTCCGAGAATTAAAGGCGATGTTTTTTTCCTTTTAAGCATAAATTGGAAATAACACATCCCATCGCGATTCTGCACTAGATAATCAGTGTTGAAAAACTGGTGTTGCGGATTTATTTCTCTTTATTTCCGCTATAATTTGCAAGCTTTATCATTATATGGTTTGATATAATATTTAGAAATAGTTAATATTTGGAATAATGCTCATTAATGAGACAAATTAAAATCATAAATTAAAAGAATGGTTTAGAATACGCAATTGTTTCTTTATAGATTTTATATCTTTTATTGCAAAATTGATTACATATCTAAAAATGTTAATTATTATTTTTCTTCTGTGACTGAAACGTCGCAATTCTGCAAAGACGAGTTCAAGGCCGAATTTGACTCTTGCGGAAACGAGTACTTTTTCAATCCTTACTCTGAAGGAAGCAGTTCCAAGTAATGGCATACAGGAAAGAAATGTAATGCGTGATCGCTCAGAGAGCGCGGTTACCCTGGCGGATTAACGTATGCGAGATATCGCCTCAACCTTCGACACTGTCGGTGCGTACACGTGTGCAACAAACTTAATTAACTGAACGCACGTGAGCCGTATCGGCGGCCGGTTGGTTTTTTGTGAATGGAACCGTGAGAGAAGTACGAACTCGCCGGTACGAACGGCTGTGCTCTTATACCCGCGTAATAACCATGATCCGTCGAATCCAGTGGTTCTCATAGCGGAAGATACGAGCCAGTTTCCGGAAGTACGACGACCTCCTGGCGGCTGGTTGCGCCACGAGAGGCAAAGGGCCCTCGTCGTCTCTGATCACGAACATTAGAAATTAGCGGCGCGCAGCTCGGAGCGTTCGGTTAAGCAGGTAAAATTTATCTCGCGCGAGAACATGTGGGAATTTCACCATGTGTGGGAGATCGAACCGGTCGCCCCTCGCGCCGATCGAACACCATCGAGATCTCGATGTGCGTCCACACGAAATACCGGATCAGTCGGTAGCCAGTTTAGTGGTATTTGGCCCATCGAATGGCACAGAAGCCTCCTTTATCAAGCGTCATAGAGTCATGTATGATTTACCTCCAAGAATGCTTCATTTGGAAACTAAATCTCTCACGTGATATGTGGCAATTTGTGCGCGGGAGCTTCATCCGTCTTAAGAGAAATGTCGTATACGCGTGCATAAGTATAGGGAAATGCGCGCATGTTAGATAAATATGTTATCTAACATATGCGTAGAGGAAATATTGGTTGTGCGTCTTATATGTGCACGCAACATCATGTTTCAATATTTCATAATCCTTTACGGTTTTGTGATTTTATACAAATCCTGTACTTGCAAATATACCTTGCCAAAAAAAATAAAAAAACGAAGAATACGCAGATAAAAGAGTTCGCGGATTAAAGAGTTCGAATCATGATCAAAATTATTTTAATTAGATACAATTTGTTAAATTATTGTTCATTATTAAACTATTATTACACTACTTTCGATAGTTTTTCAGATCAATTAGATTTAAAATGATCTATTGATTCCTTCGTCAGTTACGGTTCAGCGATCGGTCATGCTTCATCGAATCTTCGATCAAGATCAATATATATCGATATATTATCGCAAATCCTACCGAAAATGCTCGCCGAACACCCGATATCATTATTATCGTTATTGCATTATTTGTATCGATATTGTATAGTGTATTCAATATACTGGATATAACACAATGAATTCTTTTCAATGTAGGATTAAAATAAAAAGAGTATTGAATAAAATAGCCATCAAATAGTAGCGTATTAAACTTAATTCATTCGCAACTCGACCTTTATTTTCACGTTGAATTGTTTGTCCGAATACTCTGACTAAAAAACAGGATTAACGTCTTTTGTCATAATCAAGTCTACTCGAATGACGTAACGCAATGCTCCTGGTTCACGATTTTGAAGTAAAAGCATTCCTGGATATTGATGATTTCTCAAGAAGACGACGGACAGTCAACATAAAAAGGAATGCTCGTAGCGCGCGCTAACAGCAGCGATTGGACCACTCGAACTCTAGTTCCCCGAGCAAAAACCACGACGTCGATTAACGTGTGACGAAGTGATTTAATTCGAGGAGGGTCACGCGGCTCGTGCCACTTATCTTCTTCGATTCTCGGCAGGAGCGAGAATACGTCATGTCATAAGACTCGGGTGTCGATGGACTTACTCGTAAAAAGCGAATCGCCGTGGGCGAGAACTCCTCCTACTGAGCGCCCGTCTTGTCTTTTGCATAAGCGTCTAGGATTCTGTGCACGCATGAGATTCGACTATAAAGGCTTGCAAGACCTGTTTTCGTGATTACCTCGTCCTGAGGAATCTTGCCACGCGTTGTCCGCCAGGAATAGAAACGTAGACAGTCTTTGTCTGTCTACGTCCGAAGGCAGGAGGGATCTTCAGCAACTTCCGTGGCTTTCTGTGGTTTAGCCGATTGATCGGTAAGTGGAACATGTTCTTACGCGAATCGTAACGACGTGATTCACGTTAACTCAAGTTTCCACGATACATTAACCACAAAAGAAACAACGGCGACTGTTGCATGAACAGTTTCGAGTATAAACGGAGTATTCGCAATTTATATAGAGGTCACTTTACAATGTAATTTTCTATTTAAGGTAGATCTTAAATACAATTTTATCTTTATAATAGACTTTAAATACGTGGTGTGAAATGGATCTTATACAGCGCTGATAGTTTATTTTTGCTTTAATTCTTTGGACGTTGTAACTTGAATCTTGGACTTGTGACGTTCTCGCGAAATCATGAAATGATAAAGAATTGTTCAGCGATGCTATTGGAATACATGCGCTTCCGGAAATTATCGGAAAATGTCATGAATTATGTAATTTGTGCATCTCGACTTTGAATTGCTCTTAACCGGTTTCTATAATATCTGACATAAGTTTCGGAGAATAATCTAAGGCTGTTTAAGGCGTCGTTTATCGGGATCATAATTATGACCATATATGCGAGAGCCGACTATCATAAGGAGTGTCGCAAAATAAACCCGAAGCGTGGGATTCTCTGACGCGTCTACCGTAGAATTTTCTTGAGCTATCAACGTGGAATCTTAATCAACGTCCTGAAGTTTCTCACTGTATCGTTAACTGGATAAAAATAAAGCTAATATATTTAACGAGTACATATTTTTTAATTATTGTATATAGCTTTCTCTTGCGTTATGAAAAGATAGAAAAAGATTTGAAGATATCAAAATGATATATAGGCAACACTTGAGTTTATTCTTCGTCTATTCTTTGTGCGTACGTAAATTACAGCTATATATTTAAATTATTAATATTAACAATACATACACACACACACACATCATTTTCAATCATTTGTGTGACACGTTTATAAGTTATTGACACTGTAGACATGATCTAATATCTAATATATTGAAACGCAAAGGTTTTGAGTTTGTAAAAGAAAAACCATTAATATTGTTTTAGAAGCTGACGATGCTGACCCTCATTATATGTTTGCTGCCTCTAGCGTCGACCGTGTCTGTAGAAGTTGGAGAAATCAGTGAAGCAGAAACTTGGAAGAATTTGATTGTAGACATTGATAATGGCACCTTGAAACACGTTCGATTCGCCGAAAATACCGATTATACAAAACTAAATTTATCAAGTTTTCCTGGTCTTCGCGCGCTGGAGAAAAATTCTTTCGATAATGTACTTGACATAGAATCTCTCGTACTTGCCAATAATTCGTTTACTTCTCTGCCGGACTTCGTATTCTCCAATCTGACAAAACTAAAAAGCTTGTCGTTGTCAGACAATCAAATATCGAATGTCCGGAATTTATTCGTTGGCTTGGAGAATCTGCAGCTGTTGGATATTTCTCGCAACCCTATCAGACACTTTGGAAGGGGCCACTTGTTTAGCCTCACCAAATCTGTCAGAATTCTCACTAACGAAAATATTCTCTGGAGCATCAGCACGGGCGTGTTCGAGAATTCTTTCCTTAAAGACGCCGAGGAGCTAAAACGACTGGCAGCGACGCAAGATCAGGGAAATGTAAAGGAGAACGAAAAGAAGGAGCAGGAAGTGGAGAAGGCTGAGATAGCCACGGCTGAGGAGCCTCAGGATCAAAAGATCGTCGAAACCCTTAGCGAGCACACTCGACTGAAAATTTGCAAGTCTGATGGTATCGTGACATCATTGGAGATTTTTTCGAAGGATGAAGAACTCGTTGAAGGATGCGTACAAGTGCCAGTCGATATCTCGATGCAAGTGAGTCTTGTCGAGCTGGGTATCAAGGGTTTCCAGGAAGACTGGTATCGGTTGCAATCTCTGCCGATCGTATCGTTGGATCTGTCGAACAATGAGATCGCCGAGATCACGAAAGAGACGTTGAACGACCTGCCGTCAGGCCTGACGTATGTAAACTTCCAAGGGAATAAAATACGCAAGATCTGGAGTCAAGTGATTGAGAACGATCACCTGAATGTGCTTAACTTGAGGAACAATCTGATCGAGGAGATCGAGGAGGGCGCGCTCGCGAAGACGAATCTACGCGAATTGTATCTCGCTGGTAATCAGTTGAAAAGTCTGGATTTTGTCTTCAGTCTGCCGAACAGCCTGACCGTGCTTCTAGCGAACGGAAATCATATAATCTCTATTCCCGACGGCGCATTCTCCAAGCTCTTCCGTTTGAACTACCTATATCTCGATGATAATAAAATTGAAGCGGTGCAGAACGACGTCTTCCAAGGTCTGGTATCCTTGCTGACATTAACGTTAGCGAGGAATGATATAAAGACGATCGGACCGAGCGCTTTCAGAGGCTTGAGGACGCTACAGACACTCGATCTCCGCCACAATTCTATACACGATCTGCGGAAGGGTACCCTTGCTGAATTGATAGGTCTGAAGCAATTGAATCTCTCCAATAACAAGATCGTCAAAGCCACGTTTGCCGATCTGGCGCGATCCGTGGACTCCTTGCATCTCGATTATAATGAGATCGATATTCTCGAGGAGGGCAATTTTGTTCAAACTCCAACATCCACCTTATCCTTGACCGGAAACAGAATTTCTAGCATAATGCGTGGTGCCTTCAACCTGCCTACTCTGAGGGATTTATACTTGAACAACAATACTTTGACGACTATCGAGGGTGACAGCTACGAAGGCTTGAACCGGTTAAGGCGTCTCTGGCTTTCAGAAAATAAAATATCCGAGATTCGCAAGGGCGCTTGCAAAAATTTGGGAAGCCTTTATATTTTGGACATATCCAAGAATCCCTTTCAGAAGTTGGAAAATGGCGCTCTTTATGGTCTCAATACCGCCTTTGGCACCAGCTTGTATATCTATCAGAATAATCTGACGGAGATACAAGGCGGCGTTTTCGATGATATTTAAAACTCTCTCTTCTTCAGACTTTTATATGTATGTATATCTCTTCTGTTAAATGTTCTTCAAGAATTACATTATTAATTGCTGGTTATTAATTCACGAACACTTACAAAAAATTTAATTTTATTAAATCACACGATAAGTAAACTTTCATCTGTAATACATATTTATATAAATTTTATAAAAACGCATTTTTTATTTTATCTAGAAACATCAACCAACGTTATAAAAACTCATACAGTGAAAGTATAGAATTTTTTACGTTATTTATATTTGAACGTATTAAAATGTAAATTTGTTAAATTAATTTCGAAAGATATCTTTGCACAATTTGTTGAAGCGAAAGCGTATTATATCACGACATAAATATTTTAATGCATATAACTTTTAAGGTAAAAGATTGACGACGTCTTATAAAAGTATGATAAATGTATTATAAAGTTTGAAAAATGTTACTTTTTGATTGCTTTCACCTGTGTTTTTCCTAATATGTAATTATTTTGCTACACGAATTCTGCACTTTCAAGAAAACGAAACCAAGATGAAGTGAAATTGTAAATTATCAATCAAGCATAATTTACGCCATCATTACAAACGATTGTATACCATTTCTCTTAATATGTATCAATCGAGCGCATCTTCTTCGTGCGATCGCTCGACGGGATCGTTTATAATCGTGTTAATATTTACCCGAGAAAGGCAAACGGACAGAGCAATTTTCGCAAAAGTGACCGATGATTCGCTTTCACCGAACGTGCCCGTGAATACCGTGTAAAAATTGCAATAATAATACTGAAATCTGTTCACAAGAGATGAGACGTGCAACTTGCAACCGGTTGGCCTTGACTTTCACGCGAAACCTTTCAACTTCCAAGTCTGCCGGGCTCTTGAGATCCGTTTGAAGGTCGGTACGCTGTTAGAAATTTTTCTCATTTTTTTTCCACTTTGATCGACTAACGGTATATCGCGGCTGAAGCGTTGTATAAGCAAATTGAGTAATCGAACGTCATCTTCGTGCCTGGAAATTGAGGACCGGAAGATAGTTTTGTCCATTTAAATCACGCTCGACATTAGTGAAAGGGAGTTTGATATAATATACATATAAATATGTATGTGTAAATATTAATTAATGTAAAAATTAAAAAAATTTTTTAAGTTTAAACAACTGGTCATGTTATGAGTCAGAAGACTGATCTAAGTGAGATCGTCTTGTGGTATGTAATATACGTTACACATATAATGATTTCTGTTATTTTGAGACTAAAAGCCAGAGATTGAAACCGGTATAATTTTCCACGAGTTTAGACCTCGAGTTTAGACGCTGTACCTATTATAATTCCATTGGAACCGGATAATCTCGTTTCACGCCGCATCGATCGTGACAATTATGTGTGACAAAACAGACGGGGTTTCCACCGTAAACCGGAAGTCGCTAGTCTAGAAGGCGTACGTAATTACGTAACACGTATTCCCCGGGTTTAATTAACTCGCGGATAAACCTTGAGCGCCGCGCGCTCGTAACGCGCGCAGCGATCTTCCCTTCCTTAAGCAGACAAGTTCTTCGTGATGCCCGGCGGTACGATCTGACGAGTCGATTTGTTTAATTGGATCTCGAGGGGTTTGGGTTAGATCCTCGAGCAGATAGGACTCGCGTCTTTGTTGCATTTCTCAACTGCGATCGCACGTTTCCGATGATAACCGCGCACTGCTAATTGGCGCGAGAGCTTAATGATTCCCCGCGGTTTTCTTTTGCAAGCACCTCTGCTTAAAAGCCCGAATCGGATAAAGTGGATAAAAGTGGTATAAAAAGATATACTCGCGTCCGGTTTCCTGCTCGAATGAACTGCTGTTTACGATTTCACGGCGACCGAGGTCTGTCGAAGAAGCGCTGGTTCTCACATACCGGGTGCTTCTCGTTCCGTAGCGAAGGTCCCGGGCAATTTTGTGGCATTGACACTGAATAGCGCTCGCTACTTCCGGTTTCGTCAACGGTACTCCGTCGAGTTATCGGATGTACTAATAATGGTATAATGACGAAATATCAAGGATTACTAATTTTGCGGCTTACCAAATTTCGTCTGTCAAACCTCAAATTTCACGAATTGATTTATGGACAATATTTTGAATTGGATCATACGTGGAATGTTGTAACTTTATTATATAGCAAAATAATTAAAAATTTTATAGTAAGATTTCATGAATTCTATTGAATAAATATTTATGCCATAATTTACAAAAAAGAAATGCGCGATATAGAAATAAATGTAAAATTGAGACTAATATTCTAACATATTATTAATAATTTTATTTCTTGTGTCAATTTTAATGCTAATTTTAATACTAATTATCAATAGCTATTCTTTTATTTGTGTGGGTATGCGTGCCATTGTGTGATCACATTAAAAGCATTTCGATAAAATAATAAACCTTCAAGCTCACGCAGAAAGCGTAGATATGTAAGTTTAACAGTGCGAAACAGGAAATGCAAAAGTGGAAATTCAATGAATGTCGGCCAGTGGATCTTGCGTCGGCTGAAAGAAAAGGGGGTGCCATCTCGAATCTCTTAAGGTATGCTGTAAGTAGGACAAAGGTACCTTGACTCTCGGGAGAAAGGTCCCGGTGCCCGAGGCCCGAGGTTCGTTGGCCTTCGTAGCCGCTGATGGACAATAGCACGTAACAACCAGAAAGCAGTACGTCCGTTGAATATATTGACTTTGTATTGCTCGTTTTATTGTTAGATCGAATGCATAATCCTAGATATGAATGAAGTGGTGACGCAACATTGCATCATATACGTCGTTTCTCATTTTGAAATATCTGATTCTTTTTTATTTTGATGATAAACGAGTTTCGGAAGAGCCTTAATTATCTAATGATAAACGAGTTTCGGACGATCCTTAACTATCCATTATTGATATTGATATTAATACTACAGTATTTTGTATAATTTTAATTTATAGCAGAATAGATCATTTTTTTATATGATCGACTTACATCGATGATTGATTAAACAACTTAATTGTGATTACCGATATAAGAATTAAAAATAAACGTATTTTGTACTATAAAAGGGGAAATTAGGCCACAGATGATGATAATTGTAAGCGTCAGCGCACTCAGCGCACGAATGACTATAATTATTTGATATGCAATTAATGCTTTCTAATCATCACGCGCGGTGAAAGGGATGATTGCACGTTTCACGAATACGTGCGATACGGTATCGCGTTGTTAATTATATTATCTATAGCATATCCAGATTTTATTATATAAATCGGAGATAAGTGACGCGATTATGACGCGCATATGTTGATATTTGCAAAGTACGAAATCGAAAGGCCGGAGACCCATAGCGACAATATCCGAGAAGACGAACTTTCGACACTTGATTTTTGTCTCGAACTGGTTGAGCGTTTCATAACTGTCGTTTATAACCAGTCGACCTGACCTCGACGACCAGCGCATCTGCATAAATTCGTCTTGTCATAGTTCTTATGCATAAATCCATAAATCGCGCGCTCGCGGAATATTTTGCTTAACACTAGCAGAGAGCGGTGGTCACTATGGTCGAAGAAATTGTGCGTAATTATCTTCGAGAATCGCTCCGGTATTTTTAACAGCCGCCGGCAGAGAGATTCATTTCGCCTTAGCTGGTACAAGACCGGAAAATTTTTAAGCCGCTTGATTGCTTCTCGTGCCTTCATTTAATCCAATCAGCTGATTATATAATGTAGTCACACGAAAATATACTTATCTTGGGAATTAAACTCGCCACTAGGTATCAAATATGATCGATTTGTAACAAAAATTGTTATTTTATTCACTCGCGTGTACTAACGTGTTATCAGTGATATTTCTTATTATTGTAGATAATATTCTAAATCCGTTTATAATTTTAACATGTGGTAATGAAATATGTACATCGGGAGGTTAAAACATTTATTCGGTGCACTTTGAAAGAAGGGGATATTAACAGGACGGAACTAATTTTTTTCTCAGCAAGCTCTAATGCGTTTCATTTGCATACTTCAGGTCAGCATATTGAGTTGATAATTATTAAAACTGCACGTAAGCTGTATATTCGTGCAAATATTATTAATTGTGAAACAAGAGCCAGTAACTTGACAATAAAACATAACAATCGGTTTTTATGCGCTTTTAGATTAACTTTAATCCAAAATTTATATAATTATTTTTGCTATTATTTGTTATAATTAGATAATAATTACATCTTCCTTCTTGATTTTCAAAATTTATTCTTTATTTGTAGAGATTCGTGCACGCGACACATCGTAATACGTGTAAGTGTAATTCTTAAAAATATTTTTAATTGAAACTGTTACAATTAATTTTCTTGAAATTAATCGTTCTCACAAATAAATTAATATAATGAAGGATAAAAGTATTGAAATCATAATTAATTTAATAAACGAGAGTAAAAAATAATCCTTTAGTATAATATTGAATCATGATATGTCAAAGTAATCAGAATCGCAATTTCAATTTAATCACCGATGAATGATTCTTACATGACAAGAGATCTCGCAATCAAGTCCGAAGAACCGTGAAGGCGATCTGGACGAGCGTAAAATTGAATTTCCATCGGAAATATGTAAATTCGTGTTCGCTGGCATTCGTTAAAAAATGAATTCGAGAAACCATCCCCGCATACATATGTATAAGTTTCTTCAGTACCTTCTTTAATTAGCGACCTGAATCAGTTCGCTGACTTGATAATCATCCGGTTGAGGAGAAACATCTCGTGCGTGACACCGGCGAGTTGAACCGAAACCAGCGACCTAATCGCAAAAATTAATAGCCGAAGAGAGACGATTTACCGCTCGTGATGAGCCAATTATACCGTCATGCGTGACCTGCTTTCCAAGATAATCGTTTAATAACACACCCGCGCGAAGAATTGTTCATCCATGACGTATACCTATGTAATCGTCAAGCGCGGTGTCTTATGTGTGTGTATGGTAATCTAGTTTAATAGGAGCAGCACTTATACAATTTTCTCAATAAAAATTCTCTTGCGCTGGTCGCGAATAGATCCGCGCCGGGTGTTTTACCAGCTTTCACGGAGATTACATCAGACGTGCTGTCTCTGTGTCGCAAATGATGATCATCTAGTGCAAAGATTTTGAATTAAATATTTTGACGTATTCCGTTATGTGGAAAATAACACGTTTTAATCGGTGCATCTCAATGTCCAGCAAAATTGACCTGAAAAAAAAAAAAAAATGTAACTGGAGCTATCGGGCACATTTTATCAGAAAAAATCGAGAACATGGGTTTTGCTTCCATGTTTTCTGTGCAGAGGAAGACAGCATGATCTCGCGATTGCAACCCCATATGCGTGGTGATCACATAATCCGATGTAGATGTTTATAAGCACCACTTTCCACTAACGAAACATACAAATACACGAGAAAACGCGATTCCGTAAGTCGTATGACACGATATCCAGTATGTAATCTAAACCGCTGTCGAATTTTGCTGTTACAGAAATACCGGCCGAGCATTTTGCAAGGAACACCGTATTTATGATAACGATAGGTTTTTTTATGTGATATATAATTACGCATCACTTTTTTTAGATCATGATTATTAAAATTTCACTTAATGAAAAATATCTGGCTCGAAATAGTATGTGGCAAATTTTGCGTTATCTTTTCTTCTTTTTTGCATCAATATTTTTGTAAAATGTGTTTTTAAAAACACTATGTGTACATGTGTATATATATATATATATATATATATATATATATATATATGTATATAAAGGTATGTTGATATTTTCAGGTGGCATCTGTATAATAAATTTATTTTAAAACATTTTTAATATAAGATCTAATTCTTCTCGTCAATATGTGCCTTTGATTGCAAAAAATATTTAATGAACTCAAGTATAAGAGATACATAAGTGTGATATCGATTTTACATCATGATTTTATTTTTCTTGTTTCTTTGTTCTGTTGACATGGCATTCCCAAAACATTTTGCAACAACCGCATTTTTCCGTCGTGTATTGCAGCGTAAACGGTAAATATTTCTGCGATAAATTCTTGCGTTTGCTTGATTTCGCAATCTGATGTTCTTTCTTTTATAAATTATACAATACAGCGTTGATAAATAATGTCATTTTTGTAGACATATTGTAATGTAATGCAAAAAAACTTTTGATATTTTCTACTTTGCTAAAAAGTTTCTAACACTCATCAAATAAATCAAGATAAAAAGTTAATAAATTTAATACAAGAATAGAAAATAAATGACATATTTCAAGCTTTTCATAATTTATAAATAATGACTGACAAAGTAATTACTTGAGCAATTTAGAACGTATTACAACATTATGGCCTGTGAATTTTTATTTGACATTGACCTGCATAATTGTGCAGAAGAAGAGTAATGATAACGTACCATTGGTTAAATTGCACGTACACATGCACGTTTGCGAGTTAAGGACGACAAGAAATATCACAATTTCCGCATTCTGTGTAATTGCTCAAAAAACACAAGGTTTTATGCAACGCTTCATTGATGCCAAAAAAACTCAAGTATGTTACAAACGTGTTTCTTTAATAGTTAGTTATATTTATGTCATAACATTATGTTATATTAGCAAAAATTGTAATAAGTCGCAATCGCACAGACGGAAGAAACATACTAAGCATAAAAAAAATGTAAAAGAATCGCAAAAAGAAAGGATAATAATTTGAGAATATTATGCAAGATTTTTAAAGCTCTTTTTCTCCCTTGTTTAGTTTTATTGATTATTTCTTGATTATTTCTTAAATCTCAGTGGTATATACTCGTAATATAATTACGTATAATTAAACGTGATTAAACTTTGTTTACGATTATGTTTTTATTTGTGCATATTTATTATTTTATAAAAGCAGACGGACACATTATTTTGTTATTTGCTATTTCTGCTATTATATCTTTTTAATTATTAATTTAATAATTTTATAACCATTGAGAGAGAGAGAGAGAGAGAGAGAGAGAGAGAGATAAAAATTTGGGGAAAAAAAAAAACAAAAACAAAAAAAACAGAAAATTTAATTAACTTTTTATAATTTCCTTGGTCATAAAATTTATTTTTTCTCTTTTTTATATATATATGTGTGTATTTTTATTTATTTACTATATATTATCGCATGTATTAGGATTTATTGTAAAATATTAATTAAGTCTAATCAATATCTAATCGTATCACTTTATTATTTGTCATGAGAAAGAAAAAAAACATGTAATACATAGAGAATATAAATCAATAAAACACATAAAGCTTAAATTAATTTTCGATAGGCGTAAACAATGTACAGGAATATATTTGTAATAATCAGTTAAACTAAAGTGTTATTCCGAAGAATATTCTTGAGAAGTTTGAATTATCTTTTACGTAAAGGAATCTAGCTTTATTTCTCTCTATCACTTTAAGGGCGAGGCGGGGGTTATAATAAGGAAATAAACAAAAATACAAAGTTAATAACGGAATGTAAAAGACGATTATTGTACAGAAATTTTAATTATTAATTATCTTTGACCGTGCGTGTATGTGTACCGCATTGTTAGCAGCACGTTTTCACAAGGATTTATATAGGAAAATCACAGATTTCTAAACTATCTTCGCATTCTTTCTCTCTATGAGAGAAATCGGGAATGAAAGAGAATATAACGAGATGTAGTCAATTAAATTGATTTGAAAACTATCACTCATGCCTATCAACAATTCGCATATTGTTGGTAAAATGTATAACGTTTATAAACGGTCTTAATCTCGTACTGTTGGCCAATAAAGAAGGGAAAATATTCTGAAATCAATTACGTATTGTTAAACCAGGATATTGTTCCTCGATAAGCACACTTATTTTTAATTGTCAACTGTATGCTTCGATTAATCTACCGCGCGAGATAAAAATATCAATTTCGTACAATACTTTATCGTAAATGCCAGTTTGTTAATATAATTCGAGACTCTTCGTTTTTTATCAAGCGCTTCTCTCAAATGGAACTTGGATCAATCTGGAAGAAAAGTTACTCGGATATCGTGGTTTGCTATAATGATAACAGTAAAAATATTTTGGCTCGGGAAAATTTAATGCGATCAGCAATTCGATGTATTTGCAGTGGTTGCAACGCTAATGAAAATATATTCCAACTATTTTTTTCGCGTTTTGTTTCACTCGCCAAACTGCAGCGAACGTCTGATCAAAATGTGCGTGAATGGCGTGCTCATTTAGAACTTTTAATTTTATTTTGGACGGACTCTTTTGACAATTCGTTCCGTCTGATGGATACAATCAACTGCATCCTTTAGCACGCGCAATCACAGGCGCAACGACGCACGCGCTTTTCACGACGATGCAAGAAGACTTCATCTGGTACGGAGCGCACGGAGCGTGGCTGCACATCTGTAAATAGATAAATGTACTTAAATTCTAGTATTGGAGTATTGAATATTTAACTTTAATCTTTTTTCAATGTAGATCTTAGATTTTTTTTAATTATTTCATTTATAATAAACAATTCTAATATCAAAAGTAAATTAAGAATAAAAATATAGTAATTCTAAGAATGTAGAAATTACGAACTAATTTTTCTATAATTCTAAGAATGTAGAAATCTGAATTTAGCGCAAATCAATTTTTACTTACAATGCGGGCGAGACTCTTCCTCCTGCATGGGTTGCTGTTGCTGTTGCTGTTGTTGTTCTTGTTGTTGCTGCTGCTGCTGCTGCTGCTGCTGAATACTCATCATATGTGCTGCCTGATGTTGCTCCTGTTGTTCTCGATGCTCGGGTTGTTGTTGTTGTTCAGAAGATTGGCCATCGGTTACTTCAGCATGCGCTTCTACCGGTATCTCCAAGGTTTTGACCGGTCTCAATGCAAATCTCGGAAACGGGAAAGCACGACCTTCTACCACCTGAAGTTTCAGAAATCACTTAATTAGTTATTTCGTTAAAACCTGTTATCTAGTGCTTAAAAACAAAAGAAAAAGAAAAATATGTCAATGATTATTCAAATTGCGCCTCCAAAGTGTGTTATAACCAGCGCGCCTTAGACCATGCCATCCTCTATACACGTATGTAAGATACGTGTGCAATTCGCGCGGGCGCGCGACATTTTATTTTATTACGTAATAATCTTCTATAACTTTATCTACAGAAAATGGATTCCCGGTCAAAAAAATTGGCAGCGGTGGGATTCGAACCCACGCCTCCGAAGAGACTGGTGCCTTAAACCAGCGCCTTAGACCGCTCGGCCACGCTACCACATGCTTCTTTCTCAAAAACGTGTCACTCATCGATTCTAATTTTTACATATAAGTATCTAAACTCTATAATAATAATCTGATCCTGCACGAATATTATTTTACATCTGCTAAAAATGTATACTTAAACACATATTTTTTACTCTTTTAGACATCCATATTGTACAAATAAATACTATACATTATTTAAAATTCTGACATAATAAACTTCAATTTACTATCAAAAAATATATAATAAAGGTACATCCTTTAAATAGATTTCATATTAATTTTAAATATTCAAATTAATGATTATCATATAATCCCCATATACAATATTTTTATCTATATTGACTGTTTGATTTAAAATCTTTTTTGTTAATTTATACGATATTTCTTTTTATCATTTTACCTGGTGAATTATATTACGGATTTCCATTGGAATGGGGAAGTTTCTTTCTGTTTCTTCGCTGTCATCCTCCGGACCTGGGAAAGCCTTCGCTTCCTGTTGATCTTCGCCGCCATCCGGACGTTGACGACCTTCGATATTTCCATGTTCAATCAAATTTCTCACTTCCACCGGAAGTGGGAATGGTCCTAATGGTATTGGCCGTGCGCCTTCCGGGAACGGTTTGAGTTCCTATTTGCATTGCAATACATATTTACGAACGTGACTTCAACAGTTGTACGTTACACAATTTTCCAGATAAAGATCTTAGCACCATTTCTACATTAAAACTAAAATTAATCCGTAATTTAATAAAAAATATATATCTATTATATATGTATCCATTTGTAAAAATATGATTTTTCTAGATTTTCTTCGAAATGTGCTTTACAATTTAACGTAAGGCAAATAAACAAAGTTACCTCGCGACGTGCCCCCTCTGGTACTTGGACCGGGATCGCCCTGGCTTCGCCAGTAATATGCTGGATGATGTTCTTAATTTCCAACGGAACTTGCTGAATTATTCTCCTGATTTCTATGGGAATGCCCTGGAAGGGAGAGCGTGGCTTTTCAGGTGTGATCTGAGGTGGAGCAGGTGGCCTCTGTTCAGTTTGCGGGATCATCATTGGTGGTATCTGCTGATGTATTCTTGGGTCTTGCTCCTGTGCCTCGGCTTGTGGAGGAGGCGGTGGCATCATAGCTGGACCTTGCTCCTGATTGTAGGTATTGGGAACTTGCTCGGCCTGCTGCTGATACACCATTGAAACCTGTTGTGGTTCCTGACGAGGCTCCTGAACCATCGGGCGCATACCCCTCATTGGGTCCATCGGGAAGTGACGCAGTTCGATAGGGATCTGACGCATTTCGATCTAAACATAAATATAATAATTAGTATTGATGTGCTAGATAAAATTATTATAATAAATAAATAAATTTGTGTGTGCGATTTACAACGGCTATACATAATTCGTTTACGTTTGCATAGTAGACAAGACTCACTTGTGGTCCCATCGGATTACTCTGAGGTCCCATCACGGGCGTCTGCGGGCCCATTCGGGGCGGTCTCATCTCCATAGTCAACTGAGGAAGATTACGAAGCTCAGGAGGAAGTACACCCGGGGGGATGTGATTCAATCCTCGTGGGTCGCTAAGCGGCAATTGCTGCATATCGGGAACTTGATACTGGGTATGTATTTGGTATTGATGATAGCCCGGGTTAGGTTCCTGGGACTGGAGGGGAATCTGAACGGTGCCTAAGGGCACGATGATTGGAGTAAGCATCTCTTGCTCTTGCTGCCTACAAAGAATAAAAGTAAAATCGTTATTGCTATATATTACTATATTCCATTTTATCTATAATGATTTAATAAAGTCCACAATATTTTATTGTACATCTATGGAGTTTTAATTGTTTGTTTATTCAGCTTTTTAATATTTAGTAATTGGAAATCTTGTTTTTTATTGTATCTTATCCGCATTATAATGAACAATATTTTTTAAGAACTAATTAATGGATTAAATAGTAATTTAAGTATTCGGTATTCATATTATTTACAATTATTAAGTATTTAATACTTTGTCTTATATATTTCTCTCTTCTGCTATTACTTACTCCTGGTTTGGACTGCCTGATTCGCAAAGAATAGCAACTCGCTCGCCGCTTAGTCTTTGGAAACGTTGTGGATCGGTACTGTTATCTAAACCGTTGTCACCGGTTCCGTCCATCACCTCGTCGGCTCGTCGTCTTTCAACTACACAGGAAACTCTGCTACGAGCTTGTTGAATTAACGTCTGGAAAAACAATCAAAGTTTAAGATATGGTTAAGATTCACATGTCAATATTTTCTCAAAACTAAAAATCATAAAAAATTCCGATATAAAATCATGTACCTATACAAGATTTTTATACGGTAATTATCATTAAAATATTTATGTAAAAAAATAGGATATGTAGAATTATGTATACAAAATAATATATTTACGCCTGCAATGTCGTCGAGATCCAACTGAAGAGGAAGCTTGATATGTACAGGAGGGAATTCATCGTCATCGTAATCATCATCATCATCGTCGCGATCGCCATTCTCATTGTCAGATTTTGAGCTGTTTTCTCCTTCTTGAGTTTTCATGTCTTTAGTGTCCGGCTCAACTTCCTTCTTTACTGGCGCAGCGAGACTTTGCAGAGAATCCTTTGATTCGACGGGTTCCTACAAATAGAATGATTTTCTTTTTATCCTGAGATTTGCATAAATAATATTTTTAAGAAAGAGTACAATTTCTTTTTTGTATTTTAATATTATTACTGCACATTTTTACCATTAAAAACATTAATTTAAGGAACATGTAAATATATTATTTTAATTTAATTTTGTAAATTAAATTAAAAATTGTTTAAATCTTTGCATTTTAATTAATAATATATCTATGTTTATAGCATATATGATGTTAATAATTAAATCTAGAAAATTACGAAGAAGGTTATTGTGTATGAGAATCGTGTAAAAATTGTATCTATTGTGTATATTGATAATTTATTTTCAGAATTCTAATATTAGTAATTCTGCATATTACAAATTAGACAATTATATTATTTTTGCAGGGTCATATTTGAAGCTCCTTATCTTTCTGATTTATGAGAGACAGAGACTCTCTAGAAAAATTTCGACGGAAAAAGACGAGTAGGTATTCCTTGAGGCTTCGAAAGCTGGACAAATACCTCCGCGGCAATCCTCATTCGTTGATGCAACTTGTCTTCCTGCTCGCGACATCGTGGGTCACTAGTGAAAGTGAACTCGCATTTATATTATCGCAGTGTAATCTCGTCGATGGAAATCGTATGCGAATGAGAAAATGCCCAAAGAAATAGTAGAATTATAGCTTTATTCTATCTGGTCTTACGATGCCCCTTATTTTGGATAAATTAAATTAAATTTCAAAATATGTTTTTAGTTAAATCAAACTCTGAATTATTAAATAATGCGATAAACGAACATTCTGCCTCTTTCAAAGCAGCTGCAGTAGGAGTTAACTTTCTCTTGACAAAATTTAATAGAAGCCATTTTCAAGCCTTACAACTTTTCAGCAGAAGTTTTACGATCAGATAACTTAAAATAAGATTGCAAATTATACAGCAATTACAAGTTAATACCATATGGTAAAATATTGATGCTTATTTTACCGTGATACATAGCTTGATACATAGAAATGGAAAAAACGAAAGTTCCAACTTTGTAAGTATTTTTCTCGTCGGCCGCGTTTCTCGGTTTCACGCAATCGCGACTTTGTGCAAGAGAAGAGACTTTCCGATTCAAGCGCGCCATTCGTCCTGTTTGCTGTATCCGGTAAATCCTTACAAGCATTAAATTATAGATTACCGCAAACGCGGCCTAAACGTGTTGAAACGCTTCCCCCGACGAACATCGATGCTGTTAAATGTCTTTCCTGCTTCTTAACGTGTAAGTCGATTGGTAATGGATGATTACAATTTTGTGCAAGAAACGTACGTTGCAACAGCACAATTGTGGATCATAATGGTAAGTTAAAAAAGCAAGAATTGTAAGCATCGGTTTTAAATATGACTTTAAAGCTGGTTATGAGATACATTAGATATCCTTGTAATATTAATAGAAATATTAAGAAGCTTAAAAATCAATAGAATATTTTTTCAAAGATATATTGTCTCCGACATTCGATATAATATATAAATCGAATTTTGGAATTTATATTCTGCATGAATACCGGCATCGTGAAAGTCAGTGTTTTAAACAGCTAAGTTAACTTACAATTCGGTTAAGCCGAAGATCGCCCACTCGAACTAGCGCGAAGAAACGCGAACACGACTAAGCACTTTCCACTCGGGGAAATTGCCCAGGATGTAGAAAGGATTTCACGATAGTTCGGACGAGCGACAGGCAACCTGTATGATCGTCAAACTAAAACGGGACGAGCCGAGATGAAACTCGTTAAGCTACGGGAACGCATACAAATTGCGTCGGCGGAGATAGTGCCTCGTCTGCACATCCGGCGAAATAAATGGAGTTCGCCTATAATCATGGGAACTGTAAAGAAGACTGCTTTAGTATACCGCTTACCATGGCTTTATTAAAAAATGTATTGTCTCTCGGAGTCAACAATTTCCGGAATCGATAAAATATTATACTCTTTAACGACTCCAAATAAAATAGAAAAGTTCTTACATAATAAGTGTCTTAGAAACGTAATTTAAATATAAAATTAATTATTTATTGTTATTCATTAATTTATTATCAGTTTGTCATATAATAGCTTTCTATTTCTGAAAACTGAATTCAATAAATTTCAGATTCAAGAAAGGAAAAGTTGATATTTGCATTCGCTCTCTAGATGTTTAAACTAAACGAAACGCATAAAATTTCACATCAAAATAAATACGATACATATCTTTATTGCTCGCTGCGCTTCTCGCTTTAGACGAATATTTACAATAATGATTGGATGGTCAATTAAATCAGAATTGCGTGTATCTAGCAACTGAATTTCTATACATAAGTTCTTTATATACATACACGCAAGACGTAACACGGTAAACGATACGTTGCGCGATACATGTCACTTTTCGCTGGCTTACTACATTATAGGGCAATTATTCTGCGTATAGATCGCGAAATTCCCGATGTGCAACTATCGCGACATGAAATCCCGTTGAAAAAAAAAAGGGAAACGAGAGTTATGTTTCCACCTACTCAAGATTCACGGAGCGTGCGACATGGAAGAAATCGTCATTGCAATTTGCCGCAGCAATGACTTCGCTGTACGCTGAATGGCTTTCTTTAGAAAACGCGGTAAACCTCTTCAACCTATCAATTAGCGAGGCATTATGATCAATTATGGCTACCTGTCGCTTTTTAGACGTGTATACGGTGCTCGACAACGATAGCAATAGCTTGATTACGGGACGATGCAACGCGATTTGTCGCAATTTCAACTCCTTTCGAAGTTTCGACCACAACATTATATGAAGAAGTTCATAAGTTAAACATTATAATCGACCGATGATACAAAAAAGAAAGCAGAAATATATGAGATAGTCTTTTCAACCATAAAATTGGCCGATTAATTTCATTATATTTATTAAATTTTATATGTATTATTTACAAAATAAAATCCAGTTAAAATTAATCGAAATATTAGCTTTCTCTATTTATTGGCGTGAAATTCTTATCAATCAAAATTTATAAATGCTAATACACAGATAATTATGTAATAATCACATACGTCATTACATATTATATTAATCATATGCATGCGTATAATTCTATATGTTAAATATGTAATGTGATGTATCTTACGGAGAAAATAGCATGATCATTTGAAAACACATTCAGCTCGCGCACAAAACAACAATATTATACAGTTGTCTCGCGTGCGAGCTAAATATATTCAATCCCGCGTTATTTTCCTTCGCGAGTTAATAATCATATGTATCATTCCATCTAATGCAGAACGGAGGTTCAATCGACAGAAAAGATTCTCGTTTGGATACATTCATTAACATTGCTGATCGATCGTTCTCACGTATAAAAAAGGAAAGAGTCGGCCACGGCAGCGTTACGTATAGTCAGTTACGAATGAGTCAGAATTCTATTTTCTACCGATGACGTTGACAGTACGTGCGAACGTGGTACCTTAAGGCGACTTGAAACTGTCAAACGAAAGAGTATAATACAATACAGTTGCCGAGAGAAAATCTTTTTAGCGAACGTTCACCTCTTGCGGTTAGCGCGCGACCGACAACCCACTTTCGTCGTGGTACATTTTCCAAGTGTCTGGTTGCTCCAAAGGCGATGAAAAGAAATGCAGTCTGAAGGAAATATTTCGTATCGTCGTTTCCACGTAAACACAGAGACGACGAAAGTTTACTCACTTGAGTTGTATGATTTTTGTATTTAATTTTGATTTTCATACATTTTTATTTTAATTAACAGAATTCAAAAATTTAATTCTTAATTTCATTTAAGCCTTATTAATGGATATGTATATAATGGATATTATTTCTATTTAACATAAGACTGAATTATCTAAACATCATGTTTTAATAATTTATACCGGCATATATTATAGATAATATAGATATATGCATATATATATACTATATGTATATTATTTGCATAAATTAGTTTGTATTCCTCCAACGTATAAATAAAAAAAAACCCTCTTCGGGAAAGAGGATTCTTAAATTTAAAAAAACTGTAGTGCTACAATTCAAATAAACTATACATTAATGTAAACGTACATTTTAAATCAAAGGATGTTTGATATTTCGCGTTATAAGGAAATTAACAATTCAACATCATTTATCAGACCACTTCCGTTCGTCGTAAATTAACAAAAAACGCTTATGAAATCAAGGCATAATAATTTGCGAGGAAGTACACGCGAGTGTTAACTTCGACATGCAACTCACTAAAAATCAAAGGTATCGTGCGCAAAGATGGCCCTTGAAACGACTTAGGTTCTAAAAAATGAATGAACCAGCCATTTAAATTTTAAATAATGAAACGTCAGAAAAGCTTTTTTCACTGTTATTGCAAAATTGCCGGTGATTGTAGCTAAGGCGATTAAAAGTGTGGGAGAGGGAACGATTCTTCACACTTACAGCTTCTAGTGGGTAATTACGCTTGGTAATGAAACAGTCTTCTTGGAATCGAAATTTTTAATAGAAATAATAGCAGACGTATTAATGAGATATGCATAATTCAATACTTATTGTTAGTTTCAACAGCCTAACTATTAATAATTTTGCAATTTTAACACTTAAAATCGTAAAAATTATTTCTGTCTTTACGTAGAAAGGTTTCATATGATTCTTCAGGCCAAACCTGATGTCGATGTAAATCGCGATGCTTTTATAGCCGCGATCTTGCCGGATTTCATTGACCTCACGATGACCGATTTTCACCTTTGCACGTCCGTTATATGAACCGGGCTCTTTTAGTTTAGCTTTATATTCTCGCAACGTATAACTATACGATCTTACTTTCTATCGGTCGCCATAAGCGGACCGGAAACGGCCGCAACATTCGCGCGCGATCAAACTCGACGACGTCCATCGACTCGCGCTCGCCACGAGGAATAATCGATCTACCGGATTTCACTGTTCGGGGAAAAAAGTGTATACCATTTTTCGTTCCAGGCAATTACCTGTCGAGGATGATTTCATAATCGTGTTACTGACAACAAAAGTGTCAAAACTATACAATGTACGAAATTGCAAAAATAATAAGTAACAGAATGGAACTATAATTGATATAATAGTAATTATGACATAATTAGACATATTTCAATCCCTCGCTGTTATAATATAATACGGTGATTAATTATATACATCATATAGGTATAATATATATTGTAATGTTAATGTAATAAAATTATCTTTCAAAATATGCTGATTTAATTCATTAATGAAACTTTCTTTTACCGAAAATTACGATTTTGCAGGTGTACCAGGATGGCATTATCACGAAAATATTGATTAATTAGTAGAAACACCGTAAGGCTGGCGGAAACAATCCAATTTGAGAGAGCTAGTCTCTCATGAGGGAAATTGATTACCGAGAGAAGAGAAAACTCGTTGCGCGATTGAATACGTCGCTTCCGCGATGCTTCGCGATTGTTTGATGAGTACTCGAGGCTTCGTATAACGGAAATCAAATGATGGACGACGGAGTATACGTGATGGGCGCATTTATCAGAAGTGTGAATAAAACGGACTCGAGAACAATTTTTACTTTCAAGAAATAAAAGAGTTGTATTTCGTAAGCATGTATAATAATCAGATATCCATAATAAGACAAATAAACGAAATACTCATGAAGTAAAAGTTTAGGTATAATAAGAGAAACAAGGTAGAAAATATTTAATGAGGAAATTACCAAAGTCTCAATTATAACTGTTTATGTAACGTTTATCAATATGTCTATACAAGTAAAACAGAGTAAGGGATTATTTAGTTATCGATTATTATATTATGTTCCTGTTAAAAAATGACGAGAATTTTTACAAGGATGTTAAACCTACTGTATTATCATCGACCAGTCGAGATTTTGTAAATGTGACTGGTCACGGTGGTGACCAGTCGTTATAAATTTGCAAACACAATATTGGCTCGCTCGTCGATCCGCGTGCAGAACCGCAATCACACACAAGGAACGCAACTCGAATTACGTAATTCCCCCGTTTGCGGTTCTCCTTGAACGCGCGGCTCCTGGTACCGCTTCGCGCCGAGCGTTTCTTTGCGTTTCGTTTTCTGCGTTTAATACTCACGGACGACCGGAGCGCGCCTCTTCGAAAGTCCGTTCTTTACAGCGGGCTCACTCTTTTACGCCGGAATTAATCGCCGTTGTCTACGTACCGGCACGTTCCCGCCGCGTCGCGTCTTTCTTTCCGCTCGCGGCGAGAGATCGCATCGGCGCGGGGAATTTATGATGCGTGGAAAAAATCGCGCTTTTTTACGCGCGTCAGGCGTTTCTTGTCAGCCGTCAGTCAGCTGGACACTATAGAGAAAGATAATCTCGCTAGGATTTATGGGCTGATTGTACGTGCTCGTCAGCGAAAGTGTACTCCGGTATAGTCATGATTTAGGGAGAAAATGTAGCGGCGCTCGTCGACAAACTCGAGAGGTTTGAAGGAAGTTGCTCGAGTCTCGCGATCATATAATATCTGTACATTCTGAGACGTTTAGACTTTTATTATTTATTAATATCGAAAAATCTGATGAAATTCTACGATTTTACTT